TGGAAGGGGGGTGGGGGAGGGGGGCGATACCAGGATTCCCATTATTAATCCTTCAGACTTCCTCTATGAATGTCTTCAGTAATTCCTATTAGAACACTGGGATTGATCATGTGACTATGTCAGACCCGCCCCCTCTGCAGTACACTGCCACGGCTTCCTTAGTATCTACAGAACACAAGCAGGTAAGAATCGGACATACAAGCTCCCAAAACCCTCGCCGTGCGCAGAGGTGACCGAGAACATTGGATAATAAAATGTCTCACATTTCACGTTTGATGTTTTCGGCTATAAAGACTCCGGAGCGCGTCAAAGGGCGCAGGGAGCGGAATGATATCCCGCGTGACCTTTTATGTGTCGTATTTGAACAATCTTTTTCCAAGAACTCAGTAAAAAAAAGAAAAGATTAAAGAGAAGAAGCAGCAAATAAAAACAGGAAAAGCGCAATGGAATTCCGTGAGTCCCGCGACAGAGAGTGAATAATACAGCAAACTCTCTGTTATCCGGAATTCAATGAACCAGAACTCTCATCTAACCAGAAATAAAATCCCCCGTGTGCTCTCTGATCTGCGGCGCGTGTTATCCTGGAAATGATCGCGCGTCTATTTGTCTTTTTCATTACCGCATTTCAATATTAATATGAAGACAATACAGAGTTCATGTTCTGTTGTAGTAGTTAGGCACCTGTGCTGCCGCCGCACCTGCGGCGCCCTCGATGAGATGACACCTTAGCGATGGCGCCACTAGGGGGGTGCGGCCCGCACTGGGTGACATCATCAGAGGGGGTGACACCAAAATGACTGACAGTGGTTTTGGTGTCACCCCCTCTGAATAGTTGGGCGCTCCGTCATGCACGGAGAGCCCGACAGCTGGGAACGTCTCACAAAAAGACGATTTGAAGGTAAATGTATTTTGTGCCCTCGCTGGGAGGATGCAGTATGATGAGAGCGCGGCACCTCCGGAATGCAGGCGTGACGCAGGGCGAGATAAGACCGCGCACTCTGGACCTTCGGAACGCGGCGGCCTGTCAGAGTCACGCATGTTTGTTTGTTTTTTTTACGACGGCCCTTCGCGGGGTAAAGATATGTCGTGTGTTTGCTGACTGACACTTCTGCTTCCTGAACTCGTCCGCGTCGCAGGAAACGCACAAAGCAGACGTTTCGCCATAATCGCCTCCGGGCCAGAAGAGGCGGCGAGGAGTTTCCTCGCGTCTGACCTGGTTACCTGAGCGCTTCGAGAGCCGTTTCACCATCGCTGCGCCCGCCTGCGTTCTGATAATAATGAAATACGACACTTACAGAGGTGTCATCAGGGAGGTGTGTGTGTATGAACTACAAACTCCAGCCCCTCCACCTGAAGCAAGTCACTCGGGGGGGCCCATTCACACCGCGTCCAGTGGGCAACGCAATGATGAGCTCCGAACTATAGTTTCCAATTAGCCAAATTCACGCCAATGTGCAGCTTTGATGCGCGCGCGGTAAATGTGAAACATGCGCAGGAACCGTCGGCGTAAAGCGAAACGCGACACACATACGGGGCGAGTCCGGCCTAAAACAACATGTTGTCACTCCAGCAGCGGGAACTCTTCTATTTGGGCCTCCATCTCTCTAACAGGAAGTCGGGAGGCCGGCAGATAATTATTCAAAATGGCGGCACACAGAGGGAATTCAGCGTTACATTGTAACATTAATCCCAGCGCTGACGGAGCCCCAGAATGCGGCGCGTTATCTGATGAGCGAACTGCCCCATTCCTGTTACTTATTCATTATCACCGAGAGAAGAAGATACATTGAATGGGAAACGGATTTGATTGGCTGATTATTGTTACATATGTGTCACCCGTCCAATGGTTACTGACAAGTGTGATACATTGTAAACAAAACAGAGATCATCGGAAATAATAAAATGTATCTAAAGCTGAAACATTGTTTTCTCCATGGGGGTGGAG